AGGTCATCTTCCCACCTCAGCCTCCCAAAGTGCTGGGATTGCAGGTGTGAGCCACCAGGCCCAGCCCACAGTTTGAGAACCACTGGTGTAGGGCAACCATTAAATCTCTTCTCAATGTAGTAAAGTGGACTGAAGAACCAACCAAACTAAACATTAAACTATGTGATCAAACCAGTGATGCCATTCAAAATATTTAACAACTACCATGGCATGGCACTGACCAGGGGACTAGGGCCAGTTTCAGAGGCTCCTGCTGTGCCAGGTACTATCTTAGTTGCTGGATCTAAAGGGTTCTACGAGAAGGGGTGGATTGGATGAGGCTGCAGGGGCACCCAAGGGGCAGCCATCCATAGCTAGTAAGGAGATATTTCACTATTTCACAACAGCAGCAGCCACACTGGAATGAACCAACTGAATTGCAGTCCTGAGTCAAATTTCAAATGGACCTCTGATGGTTCTTAAAATCCTTCAGTGGCTGCTGTCAGTTTTTAGGAAAATGTCAAAATGCTTCACATGGAGTTCCTGCATGATTGCGCCCACGCAATCCTCCAAGCTCACCTGTGCAGGGCTTCTCAATTTACACCCTACGTACCAGTCATTCTAAACCTCTTCAAGTTCTCAAATGCACTAAACTTTACCCAGCCTTTTGCGCTTTGAAAACATTTCTCCTTTTGTCTGGAAAACCATTTCCTTAGGAAACTCAGGTTCATCTTTTACGACTCAGCTCAGATTTTACCTGCTCAAGAAAATCTTCCCCGACCCCTCTTCTTAGTAAGGTCACAGGGTCACAGGATGTCAGATTGTATTAGAATAGTCTCAGCAGAAGGCTGCCCCATTAAACTACATGTAAGCTGAGATCAGACATTTACTATATCTCATCAATTTTAAGGGGCCTTTTTTTCAAGCTTTAACATTTCTAGAGGTAGAATGTACCTCGTAAGTAGTGACGTGGCACAATTTGATGGTATTTTTCTTTCTCTATGGTATTATTATGGTGGTATTATGGTACATTTTACAGTTGATTGAATCTTAGATTCAATGAAATATGCTTTTTTATTCCCTGTATCCATGTTTCCTTATGCAACACTGAGTCTATGGAATATGCTTTGGCTTTTAGCCCAGCTGTGATCTTCTAGTGTGTTCAATGTATGGGTGGCAGCTGGAAGCCCACAAACTACATTTTCCAGGCTCCCTTGCCAGCTGAGTGCCTGTTAAGACTCTGTCAAGGGAAGGCATTAATGGGAAATTCAAAAACAAGAGGAAAGTAGAAGGCTAGTTTATTTTTTCTTGACTGCTCCTGGGTTTACCCAGGACTCCAGCAGGACACTCCAGGCCCCCACATAAAGACCGCAAATGTGACAGCGGCAGGGGCACAGGGTAGCATCAGTGGGATTGTGGCTCCTGGAGTCCCACTCAACAGCAGCAGCAGCCTCCCGGGTGAGTGTGATGTGGACGTTAGGCCCCATTCCTTTTCCCTGTTTGCTTCCCTAGCCTTAAGGGCAGCAGCAGCCTTTTGCAGTCAGTCACTGAACTCTGGGTAACATCCTCTTTCCTTCCTTCTGCTCTTCCACTACCTTTGAAACCAATTCCCTGCATGAAAAATACACTTCTGTTGAAAATACCTAGAATGGCTTCTGCTTTCCTCACATAGCACTAACAGAGTTCCCTTCTCTTTTTCATGTAACGTCTAACTGCACCATTCACGTTGATGCGTTTCCAGGCTGCCAGGCAGGATAGTGCAGTAGGACAGTGGTTAAATATCTGGTATTTGGGAACAAACTCCCTGGATTGGATTCCTAGCATTGCTACTTACTGCTATGTGACCTTGAAAAAAATCACCTAATCTCTCAGGGTCTCAATTTTGTCATCTGGCAATGGGAGATAGTAATAAAGTATGACGATGACAGTTAAGAAGTGCTTAAAATGGGCCCTGAAAAAATGGCAGGCATCGTTATTGTTCTATTTCTTAATATTGCATGCACTTGGTCACCCATAGATATGCCTATAGATGTCTCCTATTGTTTGTTTTTAAAATTCTTATTCAGGGCTGTCTATGGGTATGGGAGGTATTCAGTCCAGACTTATTGGAGGACGAAAGAGGAAGAGATGAAGAAATAATGGAAAGAAGAAGGAGAAGGGAGGGGAGAAGAGAGGAGTGGAGGGGAGAAGAGGAGAGAAGAGGTAGGGAGGGGAAGTGTTCTTTACCACAATTTAAGAAAACATCATCTGTGGGGGGCCGAGGCTGGTGGATCATTTGAGGTCAGGAGTTCGAGACCAGCCTGGCCAACATGGTGAAACCCCATCTCTACTAAAAATACAAAAATTAGCCGGGTGGTAGTGGCACGCACCTGTAATCTCAGCTACTATGGAGGCTGAAGCAGGAGAATCACTTGAACCCAGGAGGCGGAGCTTGGGATGAGCCGAGACTGCGCCACTGCACTCCAGCCTGGCCAACAAAGTGAGACTCTGTCTCAAAAAAAAAGAAAAGATCACCTAATCTTTGGTCTCCTGCTCTTCACTGAAGATCCTGGTTAACCTCTAACCCTAGCTGGTTGTGTTCCTATTAGTAATAAGGACAGCAGGTGTCCAGTCTTTCAGCCACCTGATGGTTGGGACCACGATTTGGACAGCTTTATACCTCTGGGACCTAACCAAGAAGGCATTTAACATTGCAGGATGAATGCAACTGAAATCACAATGAGATTACAGAAGTCGGCCTGAAAAGGCTAGGTTCAATATGTGATTTGTGTAGCCAGAATGAAGAGAACGGAAAAGAGAGAAGCAATAGCAGGGTCTGAAATTAGTAGTCACGGTCAAGGATGAGAGGGAAATCCTTTCTTTCAAGATAGTGGTTACTGACTGAGTGTGGTTCACACTTCCTCTGATGGGTTGCCTTAAAAACTTACTATCAAATTCCTTGATGTCAAGTGTTCTCTGGGTTCACCAAGCCTGGTTTTATTCAAATCAAGACATATCTCACTTCTCTAGAACTTTCTGCCAGTAGCATACTCAGTGGAAAAAAAAAGGATGGATGGACATAAAATAGGGCATCCTCTACAAATGCGGGACAGGAACTAAGACATGATTTTCAAATTTTGACTGTTTATTTTCAGTTTTGTAATGCATTTGAAAGACCTCAAAGACTCTAAAAGAGCTTGACATAATAAATTTGCCATTATTCTTCCAAACACAGCTTAATGAGTACTCATTGTCCCTATTTCTTTCTTTTTCTTTTTTCTTTTTTTTTTTTGAGACAGAGTCTTGCTCTGTCTCCGAGGCTGGAGTGTAATGTTGTGATCTGGGCTCACTGCAACCTCCGCCTCCCGGGTTCAAGCAATTCTTCTGCCTCAGCCTCCCGAGTAGCTGGGATTACAGGTGCCCACCACCACGCCTGGCTAATTTTTGTATTTTTAGTGGAGATGGGGTTTCACCATGTTAGTCAAGCTGGTCTCGAACTGACCTCATGACCCACCCGCCTCGACCTCCCAAAGTGCTGGGATTACAGGCGTGGGCCACTGTGCCCGGCCCATTGTACCTATTTCTAAAAAACTATAATATAGTTCCCCATGCTCACCACTACATGGGTCTGAGCAAAGAGTACAGATGGAGAGGCAGCCACATACAATTTAAGCTGTAAATCAGGCTACAAACTGTTCAATCAAGTACATTTTCTCCTCCTACCTTGGAAATACACTTCATACCTACCTGGAAGGCCAGATTCCAATTCAGAATTCTCAGACTCCTGGGAGTTTCAGATAGAAACATGTTGGAGAGTGTGCCCCAGTCCTTGGCCCACCTGCTTTCTCTGTTCACATCCCTTATCCCAGCAGCACCTTGACAACTCGTGGGAGCCCAGGCACAGTCTTTCCTCGGGACGATGGAATGACAAGCTGAGAAAGACACCCCCATGGGCCCTGGATGTGAGCTCTGAGCAATTTTTTTTTTTTTTTTGAGACGGAGTTTCATTCTTGTTTCCCAGGCTGAGTGCCATGGTGCAATCTTGGGTTAACAGCAACCTCTGCCTCCCGGATGCAAGTTATTATCCTGCCTCAGCCTTCCAAGTAGCTAGGATTACAGGCATGTGCCACCATGCCCGGCTAATTTTGTATTTTTAGTAGAGACACTTTCTTCATGTTGGTCAGGCTGGTCTTGAACTCCTGACCTCAGGTGATCTGCCCATCTCGGCCTCCCAAAGTGCTGGGATTACAGGTGTGAGCCACCGCGCCCGGCCTCTGAGTAAGTTTAAACAGGAAATTGCAAGTCTCAGAGACACAAACTATGTTTTAGAAGGGGACACAGGCACATCCCGTGGCACTGCAGATCCTTCACTCCATGGCAAAGGGCATAGCCCAAGGAGAGCCAGAGTGGAGCCCTCTTGAAGCCAGAACCTAGGACAGGACCCCTCTTGCCCCGGGCTAAGGGCAAAACTGTACCTCCTTATCCCATAGCTTACAATATTAAATCCTTTCCCAATGAAAATACTCAAATAGATTTAAATTACGAGATGTTTTTTAAAGCAGAGAAATATAGATAGGTGAAAAGGAGAGTGAGGATGAGCTGCCCACTGCAAATGAGGGTCTTGACAGCTAAAGCAAAAAGGAAAAGGCCTCAGTTATGGGATCTTTTTTCTTTTTCTTTTTCTTTCTTTTTTCCTTTTGAGACAGTCTGACTTGTTGCCTAGGCTGGAGTGCTGTGGCTCAATCTCAGCTCACTGCAACCTCCGCCTCCCGGGTTCAAGCGATTCTCCTGCCTCAGCCTCTTGAGTATCTAGGACTACAGGCACATGCCACCACGCCCGGCTAATTTGTGCATTTTTAGTAGAGATGGGGTTTCACCATGTTAGCCAGGATGGTCTCGATCTCCTGACCTCATGATCTGCCTGCCTTGGCTTCCCAAAGTGCTGGGATTACAGGAGTGAGCCACCATGCCCGGCCCAGTTATGGGTTCTTAAATAATTCATGCATGTTCATTTGTTTAAGGAGACAATGTTTTCCAACATGTCAAATTCTAGGAATGTTTTATGGTATTATTATAGAAAACACAAATGATATATAAATTTCAAAAATGTAATACTTTATGCAAACCGAAAAGATCATTTGTCTTCCTAAGGAAGTGATAAATACTACGTTACACAGTAGACTGCCTCACTGATATTAGCCATGAATTCCATTTGGAATCTCCTGCTTGTCTCAAAGGCTTAGCATTACTTAACTGCAATAACTTCCAATCATTACCACTCAGATAATCGATTGCTTAATCACTGACATTCCTGTAAGGGTGAAAAGACTGTATTATTTTTGTTTGAAGCTACCACACCAAGTCTCCTAGTACGGTATAATTAGGAAAAACTGTTTACTTTTTCTTAAATCCAATACCCCTCACCCCCACCTCAAAAGCTAGACATTAAAGTACTAAATATAATGATCTTGGTAAACCAAATTGCTATATTCCTGGCAGCCCTTCCCTGCTGTTTCCCCTAAACATTTCCATCTGAAAGGATGATGAATAAAAAAAGGAAAAAAGAAACCTGGGAAATATACAGCTATCCCTTGACTGTATCTTCCACCTAACCATCAGAGTTTCCGTTCGAGTGCTTAAAAGCATTCACTCTCTCCTTCCTCTGTCCCTTTTTGGCCACTTTATTTTGAGACAGGTTCTCACTGTCGCCCAGGCTGGAGTGCAGTGGCGAGATCATGGCTCATTGCAGCCTTGACCTCCCAGACTCAAGCAATCCCCTTGCTTCAGCCTCCTGAGTAGCTGGAACTACAGGTATGTGCTACTACACCCAGGTAATTTTGTGATTTTTTTGTAGATTTGGGGGTCTCACTATGTTACCCAGGCTGGTCTCAAACTCCTGGGCTCAAGTGATCCGCCTGCCTCTGCCTCCCAAAATGCTGGGATTACAGGCGTGAGCCACCATGCCCAGCCCCTTTTTGGCCATTTTAGATTGTTAGTTGTATTGTTTTAAATGTCCATGGCACGCACAATGCACGATCAGGAGACAGCAGCACACTGTTATATGCCTTTTAGTCAGTCTCCTCAGACTTGGGGGACATTGAGGGCCTTTCATTATCTTGCTTCATGGGTACCCATGCCAAGGCCTGAAATATAGGAAGTACCCATAATGTATTAAGTAAATAAGTGATCACCTTATTGTCCTCAGGAACTATGTAACATTGAGAGTTATTCTGGCATAAAGAATATCAGAATTGTAGGCTGGGCACGGTGGCTCACGAGGCGGGCCTATCACCTGAGGTCAGGAGTTCGAGACCAGCCTGGCCAGCATGGTGAAACCCTCTCTACAAAAAAATATGAAAAATTAGCCAGGCACGGTGGCAAATGCCTATAATCCCAGCTACTTGGGAGGCAGAGGCAGGAGAATCACTTGAACCCAAAAGGCAGAGGTTGTAGTAAGCCGAGATCACGCCCCTGCCCTCCAACCGAGGCAACAGAGCCAGACTCTGACTCAAAAAAAAAAAAAAAAAAAAAAAGAATATTAGAGTCCATTCTCCATGGAAGTGGATTAACCCAGTGTGTTACCTTTATAAATTTTGAAATCTGAGAATCAGAAAGTCCAGATGTAAGATCCCTGATAATTCCATCCAAATTCCACTGGGCAGGTAGGAAAAGACACACAAAGAACTCCCAGCATTTAATGGCAAAGACGACTGACAAGGCATACGCTTGTGAAATGTTGGTTTTTTAAAATGCATTTTGTCTTAATAACATATTCTAATATCAGAACACTAGCTTTGGCTATGCTTTGAAAAATGGTACAACACTGCACTTAATCCAAGTTTGTTTTGTTTTGTTTTGTTTTGAGATGGAGTCTTGCTCTTTCGTCCAGGCTGGAGTGCACTGGCACCATCTCTGCTCACCACAGTTATTTTTTTTAGAGGTAAAATGAAAATACCTCAGATTCTGGAAATACTTAGAAGGGAATCATTTTGAATGGTGTTGGAATAAGTGATCAACGCAATATGGCAGCTACTGCCTTTTTTGCCTTCTATTTTCAGCTAACTTCTTTTAAAAGCCCCCCCACCCAAAAGGAGTACCAGACAAATGACAGCACTCAATATGGGAAGTAAAAGTTTAAAACACTAGAATATATACAAAAAATTAGGTTAGGAAAAGGTTTCTAAAACAAGACACAAACACATATAAAGGAAACTGACAAATTTGACTACATCAAAATAATAAACTTCTGGGCATCTAAAAATACTACTAGAAATGAAAAAGACACACTACAGATTGAGAATGGGTACTTGTAACAATACAAGCAACAATGGATTATTATCCTGAAAATTTAAAGTACAACTGATCTCTAAGAAAATCAAAGCCCAATAACCAAATGGATAAAAGGCAGGCATTTTTCCCATGAGAAACACTGGCCAATCAACTTATAAAAATGTGCCCAGCCTCATTAATACTCAGGTAAATGAAAATTTAAGCTATAAGGAATGAACATTTCACATCTCCAGATTGGCAAAAATTTATTCTTTTGTTTATTCTTATTATTTTTGAGAGAGAGTCTCACTCTGTCACCCAGGCTGGAGTGCAGTGGTGCAATCTCGGCTCACTGCAACCTCCACCTCCTGGGTTCCAGTGATTCTCATGCCTCAGCCTTCCAAGTAGTTGGGCTTACAGGCGCCCGCCACCATGCTGGGCTAATTTTTGTGTATGTTGTAGTGATGGCGTTTTGCCAAGTTGCCCAAGCTGGTCTTGAACTCCTAAGCTCAAGCAATCCTCCCGCCCTGGCCTCCCAAAGTGCTAGGATTACAGGCATGAGCCACCACACCCAGCAGAGACTGGCAAAAATTTAAAAGTCTTCAATGTCAAGTATTGGCAATGGAGCACTTTCAACCCTCATACCCTAATCATGAGTGTAAACCAGTACACCACTTTGGAAAGCAATTTAATAACATATAATAAATTTGAATCCTGGAGATGCAGACAGGTGGGAAGACAGAAGGTACTGGAAGAACTGTAGTTTTCTTTTTTTTTTTTTAATGAGTATACAATGTGGTACCATTCCTAAAGGAATTACAAATTTCAAGCCCAGGAGCCAAGCACTGGGTGGTAATATAGGAAAAAGCCATAATTGTAGGTCACCTCTAATAAATTTTGCCAAGTACCTTTCTAATGTCTTCACATGCAGTGACTTCAGTGGCTGGTCGCATGTTTTAAAGGAGCTTTTTGGCACAAAACAAAACCCCATAGTAATGTGAACATTTTCCAACTTCTCCACTGTCTTTTTCCTAGAAACATTACTGTAACATTCTGATTCTTCCATGAGGATATTGACATCAGTCTTCCAAATTTTGAAGGCCTGTGAATTTAGGCCTAGTTAAATGCATTTGTTACATGAAAGAGACAGCTGATCATCTTTTTCATGTGGATTTCTTTCTCCATATATCTGTGCCAAGTTGAAACATAAATTAGTAACTACTATCACTGTTATGTTGAATCCCCTGTAAGTCCTTTGCATGTTACTGGGTCTTCCATAGCCAAACCACCAGATATGTTATCTTTTTGATGATTTATATTTCATAGTGTTTTTTTTATTGCCCAGGCTGGAGGGCAGTGGCATGATCTTGGCTCACTGCAACCTCCCCCTCCTGGGTTCAAGTGATTCTCCTGCCTCAGCCTCCCGAATAGCTGGGATTACAGATGCCTGCCACCATGCCTGGCTAATTTTTGTATTTTTAGTAGAGACAAGGTTTCACCCTGTTGGCCAGGCTGGTCTTGAACTCCTGACCTCAGGTGGTCCACCCACCTCGGCCTTCCAAAGTGCTGGGATTACAGATGTGAGCCACCACACTTGGCCTCATATTATCTCTTTAATCATTTATACTTTCATTTTCTTTTTATTGGGTCCCATGTGCCTGCCCAACCCTGGGAATGCATAGCTCAACAGGGCATGGGCTCTACCCTTCAAGAGCTTACAGAGCTACTTAACCATATGTAACCTTAACCATTTTTAACATATAAATGGAAGATTACCCAATCCACCCTTAAATGAGTCTTTCCAGGACACATCACGGACATCTAACGTCTTTACTGCCCTCATTTAATTATCATCTAACATACCCAGTGAACTTGGGGACATGTGGAGAAACTGGAGGGAAAAATTGAGCATTTGGGGAAATTAAAAGTAATAGTTCTTGAAAAATTGAAACGAATTTTGTACAATTGGTTTTGGTAAATGTAAACACTGAAGTGGGGGTGGCCATTAGTATTCTTTCAGATTCTGCCACCAGATTTCTTTTAAAGGCAGCAGTGGCACACCATAGTTGGCAGTTTGGCTATACTAGTACAAATTCTAATGTTGCATACTAATTTTTGAAACCTGATACTTGGCCGGACATGGTAGCTCGCGCCTGTAATCCCAGCACTTTGGGAGGCCAAAGTGAGAGGATCACTTCAGGTCAGGAGTTCGAGACCAGACCGGCCAACATGGTGAAACCCCATCTCTACTAAAAATACAAAAATTAGCTGGGCGTGGTGGCACATGCCTGTAATCCCAGCTACTCCGGAGGCTAAGGCAGGAGAATCGCTTGAATCCAGGAGGTGGAGATTGCAATGAGCCGAGATCGTGCCACTGCACTCCAGGCTGGGTGACAGAGCAAAATTACATCTCAAAAAATACAATGAAAAATGAAACCTGATACTTGTTGATAAATAATAATAGCTAAAATGTAAGAACTTACTTCTTGTCAGGCACTGAGCTAAGCGCAGATTTTTTTCATTTGATCCCCAAGTAATCTGGAGGGAGATGCTATTATCCCTATTTTTTTTGAGATGGAGTTTCGCTCTTGTTGCCCAGGCTGGAGTGCAATGGCGTGATCTCTGTTCATGGCAACCTCCACCTCCCAGGTTCAAGCAATTCTCCTGCCTCAGCCTCTTGAGTAGCTAAAATTATAGGCGCGTACCATCAAGCCCAGCTAATTTTGTATTTTCAGAAGAGACAGGGTTTCTCCATGTTCGTCAGGCTGGTCTCAAACTCCCAACCTCAGGTGATCCACCCACCTTGGCCTCCCAAAGTGCTGGGATTAAAGGTGTGAGCCACCGTGCCCAGCCTATTATCCCTATCTTACAGCTAGCTGCACAAACACAGGGCCAAAGTCCTAGAGCCAAAAAATGATAGAGTCAAGATCTGAAGCTAGCGGTCTGAGCCAAGAGCCTCTCAAAACCACTTTTACATTATGTATTGCATGAATAAACAATCTTTTCTAGGGGTCGGTATTGTTTGTCATGAGTGTGATGAGTACATTGTAATATCACTATGTATGTATATGTGAAGCCCTACATTTTTTTAAACTTTTATTTTAGGTTCAGAGGTATGTGTACAGGTTTGTTATATAGATAAACTCATGTCACAGAGGTTTGGTGTGCAGATTATTTCATCATCCAGGTATTAAGCCTAGTACCCAATAGTTATTTTTTCTGCTTCTCTCCCTCCTCCCACCCTCCACCCTCTAGTAGGCCCCAGTATCCATTGTTCCCCTCTATGTGTCCATGTGTTCTTGTTTCACTCCCACTTATAAGTGAGAACATGTAGTATTTGCTTTTCTGTTCCTGCATTAGTTTGCTTAGGATGCTGGCCTCCACCTCCATCCATATTTCTGCAAAATACATGATCTCACTTCTTTTTTATGGCTGCATAGTATTCCATGGTGCATATGTACTACAGTTTCTTTATCTAGTCTATCATTGATGGGCATTTGGGTTGATTCCATGTCTTTGCTATTGTGAATAGTGCTGCAATGAACATATGCATGCACATGTCTTTATAGTAGAATGGTTTATATTCCTTTGGGTATATACCCAGGAATAGGATTGCTGGGTCAAATGGCATTTCCATTTTAGATTCTTTGCAGAATCACCACACTGCCTTCCACAATGGCTGAATTAATTTACACTCTCACAGCAGTATATAAGCATTCTCTTTTCTCCACAATATTGCCAGCATCTGTTATTTTTGACTTCTTAATAGCCATTCTGACTGGTATGAGGTGGTATCACATTGTGGTTCTGATTTGCATTTCTCTAATGATTAGTGATGTCAAACATTTTTTCATATGTTTGGTAGCCACATGTATATCTTTTGAAAAGTGTCTGTTCATGTCCTTTGCCCATTTTTTAATGGTGTTGTTTTTGCTTGTAAATTTGTTTAAAATCCTTATAGATTCTGGATATTAGACCTTTGTCAGATGCATAGTTTGCAATCCTGGGATAACTGGCTAGCCATATGTAGAAGATTGAAACCAGACGCCTTTCACTATATACAAAAATCAACTCAAGGTGGATTAAAAACTTAAATGTATTATAAAACCGAAAACTATAAAAACCCTGGAAGATAACATAGGAAATACTGTTCTAGACAAAGATTTCATGATGAAGACACCAAAAGCAATTACAACAAAAACTGACAAATGGGACCCAATTAAATCAAAGAGCCTCTGCACAGCAAAAGAAATAATAAACAGGGTTGGGCGTGGTGGCTCATGCCTGTAATCCCAGCACTTTGGGAGGCCGAGGCCAGTGGATCACCTGAGGTCAGGATTTCAAGATCAGCCTGACCAACATGGTGAAATCCTGTCTCTACTAAAAATACAAAATTAGCTGGGTATGGTGGCACATGTCTGTAATCCCAGCTACTTGGGAGACTGAGGCAGGAGAATCACTTGAACCTGGGAGGCAGAGGTTGTAGTGAGCCAAGATCATGCCATTGCACTCCAGCCTGGGCAACAGAGTGAAACTCCATCTCTCTCTCTCTCACACACACACACACAAAAGACAATCAACAGAGTAAACAGACAACATTACTGACTTTTATGCCTGGAAATTTAGGATGATTTCTCAAGTGGGTCTTGATTCTACTACTAAAGGCAAGGAGTGGAGAGAAGGAACAATGCTGCCTTGTAACCCTCGACTTCCATGTCAAAAGATGGAATACAATTTAGCCTGTGTTTGAAATTCTCTAACTACCAAAAGAATATGTTCATCAAATGGCACCTTTCCTCATTTCTCAGAACAATGTTCCTTCCAGGAAACCACAAATGTTACCATCTCATACAATGTAGGATGTCTGTGCACTTCACAGTATTATTTTACACATAAAATGCCCGTTAGTGCTTTTGGTTATTTCCCGCAACGGTTTTAGTATCTCTTTGCTAATAAAAGGTCATCTGTTGCATGCTTCACTTAAAGTATGATAGAAGGCTATAGGGTTTAGTCTTCACCACGTTTGTCAGTGTCAAGCTAGACTGCTGCTATCCCTGAGAAATCTTCCTAGTTCCTAAAACACCTTTTTATTTTTTTTTAAGTTGGAGTGTCACTCTGTTGACCAGGCTGGAGTGCAGTGGTGGGATCTCAGCTCACTGCACCCTCTGCTTCCTAGGTTCAAATGATTCTCATGCCTCATCCTCCCGAGTAGCTGGGATTACAGGAGTGCTGCAACCCACCTGGCTAATTTTTATATTTTTAGTAGAGACGGGGTTTCACCATGTTGGCCAGGCTAGTCTTGAACTCCTGGCCTCTCCTCCTACAATAAATTCAGGAGTCAAATGTGGTAGATTGAAATCTTTTTGCTAATTATTCACTCCCCTATCATCCATCCCCTTGCTTCACGCTTGGCAGAGGGCACTGCCCTGTCTCTTCGCCCTGGGTTTGGCCATGCAGTGTGTTATGGCCAATGGAATATTGACAGACATGGCACACACAGAGGCTTGACATGTGCTTGTGTCATTGTGCCTGTCCTCTTGTGCTCCATGCCTTCTTCTGTGAGAACATGTCTCAGGTAGCCAATGATCCATGGAGGATGAAAGACATGTAGAGCAAACCTAGATCTAACACACAGCTTGAAATAGGGCCCAGCCTAGATCAGCTGAACCCCAGCCAACATGCAGATGGCTGAGAAGAAAAATCAACACTTGTTGCTAGAAGCTGTTGAAATTTCAAGTTTGCTTGCTATGCAGTATTATTGCAGTGACAG